TTCTATGTAGCCCCTCTCCAAGCAAAGGAAAGGACAAAATGCTACAAAAGAGGACAAAGAGAAGGTCTATTTTGTCCTTTACTACTACTTTTGTAGAAAATGCTTCCATAGTGCCATCTATGTATCAGCTCCTTCCCTGAGAGATTTATATGTATTAACTCACCTAATCATTAAAGCATCTCTCTGTATGAGAAAGCTACTATCATTAGCTCCTTTATAGAGAAGGATCTAGATCCCTAGATCCAGAGGGGGAGCCCAGATCCACAGCACTGGAAAGAGCTGGAACAGGAACCCAGGGCCAGACCAGGTCTAGTGCTTTCCCAGGTGTCCCAGGGAGCCCAGGACATCCTAACTAGAATCTGCATAGAAACAGCACAGGGCTGAATAGAAAACACAAAATTTTCCTGGAGTTATAGGGCTGAGGACCAAATTGGAAGATATGGACAGAAAGTTGCCCAGCCAAGACCCATCTTCAAAACTACACATGGCTGGACTCTGATTCTAGTCTAGACATTTGTCCTTTTCTAATTACACGCACTCTGTGTCCCAACAAATCGTCCAATATATGATAAAGATATATGTATTGCATTCAAGATTCACCCAATGAATATTCATTAAGCATCAATTATGCACAAGATAACACTCCAGGCACTGAAGATATGGCAGTGACCCAACCAGATCAAAATCCCTGTCCTTACAGGACTTAAATCTGTGATTTAAAGTTTTTAAAATATTTTTCAAATAAAAAATATTGAAAAACCCAAAAGGTAAAATTTACCCATAATCCCATCCAAAACTCTTTCTTTATATATATAAGTACAGAGCAAGAAGTCAGAGTTTCTTCTTGTCCATCTAACCCTTCCTGTTGCCCATAAGGTAACCATTATAAATTTTCCCCCAAAATTTAAAGACTGATTAAATATACATATCCATATACTCATTATTATTATTATTAAACCAAAATAGAATAATGCATTATAGAATGATCTACAACATGTATTTTTTTTTCACCTAATAGATCATGAACCTCTGGTTTAGTTTGAGTTCTCCAAGAAGCAGAGTCTGAGACAAGGATTCAAAGTCCTTGCTCAGAACATTTAGATCTATCTCATTCATTTTAATGGTTGCACAGCATTTCAGTATGTGTCTGTATCATTATTTATTTAATACCCTCAAGATACACATACACAGTGTCCTCCCTCTAACCCCTACTTCCCACTCATCAACATTTCTCCATGAAGCAAGGAGAAAGCTCATTTTTCCAAAGCCATGGCTATAAGACAGGGTTCTGAGGTCTAGAGAAATGAGAGTATTGGCAGCAGGGAGATAAAGTCCAGGAAACTTACCATTGTCCTTATCATAACCATGATTTATAGCTAATACATATTTATGTGAAGTTGGCCAAATCAGTCACTGTGGTGATCATAATACTGCAGAGACCTCATTAATTTAGTGGTTTATTTTCCCTTTGCCAACTATAGCAGTCACTTTCTTCTTGACATTCTTTGGTCTAAATTTCATCATATATCATCAATTCTATTATGTCGTATAGAATGAGTCCATACCACAGTATTTTAGATTGCTAATTTTTTAATGGCAAAACTACATATAATTATTTGAGTGATTTTATCTGTATTTCGTGGTAGTGGTGTTCTTAGATCATTGAATAAAGGATGAGAATTTATGTTTCTAAGTTGAGTGCCAGTTTCTAAGCTCTTTTGTAACTTGGTGGGCGATTTCAGATGCCCATCAGCACCACCAATCATTACCACCAATCACCTTAAAGAGGCAGCACCCTGAAGTTGAATGCCTCACTAACATAGTCCCTACTAACAAAACATTCAACTCTCCAAAAGCCTTAGCAAATAAACTGGATTTCACTGAAGATTTCATGGGGAGCTGGAGGAGAAGATTCCCTCACACATCCCACAGCAAAACTTAATGGTCTTTTCTGTCAGAAACATCTGGTCTTCCTTAAAAGCTCATTTTGGCTACTAGGAACTTGCGTTCTGTCTCCTTCCTCATCCAACAGAGACTGTCTAGCCCTGATGGCTTCAGTCTTTCCTCATTCTTTAAGTTTCCCTTTGGGTCTTCTATAACTCCTCCTCCACTGAGTTTTTACAAAGCAATTACTTCTTTAATTATGGATTCTCATATCACTTTCCTACTCACTAGTCTAATAATCTCCTCAGAAAGCAGTGGGGGAATTTTAATTAAGAAATGATTTGCTATCACAAACATTTTTTTCATTGCCATAATATTATTAGGTAGTTTTATTATTCTAATTGATTAAAATGTTTATCGACTGCTTAGATCCAGAAACTTGGGAATCATCTAAGGCTAATCCCTTACCTATCGCCTGTAGTAACTGGGGCCCAAAGAAGTGAAGGAACTTGCCTAAGGTTGTAGATTAAGTCTGTGACAGCGCCACAGTTATAAAGTGGTGGCTGACCCAATCCAGCGCCCATCTAATTACAGCAAGTCTGAGATACAAATGAATCGAGAGGCTCTTACAAGAGAACCTAGAACTCTGAACTGGAAGGGAACTTGGAGTTTATCTAGAACAAATCTCTCATTTTAGAGAGGTTAAAATAGAAACTTTCCTTGTAGTTTCTGAATCCTAAAATTACAACACAGATTAGACAGTTACTTTAAAACGTATGTACTTGCCTGGTGAGTATGATTTCCAGGAACATAGACAGATTTAAACTGTTTCATGAGATTCCGAGCTCCAGCAATATCCCGAAGCAAAGTAAAGAGTTCATCCACGGCAATTTTGGATTTGTGAAACGTCAGGTTAATTGAAGAGTCACAGCCTGAAATAATCCAGAGATATTTCTTTGGGTGAACAAATCTTTAAGTTAAGTTTTAATAATGACAACCTGGTTTCGATGTAACACAGTTTTCTTTTGTTTTTTTAAATGCTATTTTGCCCTGGCAGTTCACCAAGTGAACTGTTTCAATCATCTATGAGCAATGAAACATGTTGGGTATAAATGCCTTTAACAGAAGCAGAACCCAGAATTGCCTGGGATTGCAGCCACCGGCTTCAATCCCTAGACTGCAGAAGTTTCACAGAAGGAAAGCTCCCCAGGATCTGCTGACTCAGAATGCAGCTTTGGGAGGGTATGAGGAGCCACAAAGGAAAATACGAGAGAGTTCTGGGATGAACCTCTCTTGCTTGAATCTCACCAACAGTTTCCATAAAATAGAACAGCAAGAATGAGAACAATATAGAGTTTGCTTCAGTGATAGAACTTGCTGGGATGGGCACCTGCCTGATGTGTTAACAAAATATACGGTATACTTTATACATTTAAATGGTATACATTTAAATGGCTACAGCCATTTAAAGTTGATAAAACACAAAGGGGGCCTAACAAGAAGACCATTCTCAGCAATGATTCTATTTCTTGCAGAAACTTATAATAAGTGATTTAGTATCTATCTTGTTAGAAGCTCATTCAGAACAGAAATAATTGTGGGTAAATCAGAAGTTAAAGAAATAGAGAAAGATTTAAGACAAACATTTTTGATTCTCTTAAATACTGCATACATAATACTCATTAATCTTCGCATCACCCTTATGAGATAAGAGCTATTGTTTTCCTCATTTTAAGGATGAGGGAACCCGAATGCAGAGACCAAGTAACACTCCCATTAGCAGACACTGTCAATGCTCTGCCGTGTCTGCTGTGTCACTCTGGACATCACTGGTAGGTTTGGGAAACAGTTCTTCTGTACTCTGACTACTTCCTACCTCAAGTACCTGGATGTCTTTCTATCTCTGTTTCTCCGTCTCTCTGTCTCTGTGTCTCTCTTCCCGAGGGCTTTCTCCAGTTGTCAGGGCGTGTTTGGCCTTTCTGTGGAGCAGCCTGGGGAGTCAGCACTTGTAGGAATAAACTAGCTTTCTCATCCCTTAAGAGAACAATTCCAAACTGTGGTCTTCACGGCTTTTCTGAGGGGTCCCAGCAGGACTGAGCCCTAGTTGCCCACAACAATAACTCACTCATTAAGGCCCCCTTTATTGGCTTTCCTTTCTTCCCTGTCTCACTTCCCTAATTCCTGACTGTGCTTCCTGGAATATCTTTCCAAATATAGACCTTGCACCCAAATCCTTATCTCAGGACCCCAGAGCTTCCACAGCAACTGGAACACAGGCAGCCTGGACCCAGAGCCTGTATTCTTTTTTTGGAACAGTTTTATTGAGATATAATTTACATACAATACAATTAACTCATTTAACATGTACAACTCAATAGCTTTGATTATATTCACATAGTTGTATAGTTGTATAAACATTATCAACACAATCAATTTTAGAATATTTTTTTCACCCCAACAGGAAACTCCCCATACGTGTTAACTGTCCCTGCCTATTTTCCCCTCCCCCGAGTCCCTGGCAACCACTAATCTGCTTTCTGACTCTGTGGATTTACCTATTCTGGACTTTTCATAAATGTGGAATCATGGAATATGTGATCTTTTGTGACTGGCTTCTTTCATTTAGCATAATGTTTTCCAAATTGTAGCAGGTATTAAGATTTCGTTTCTTTTTATTGCTGACTAATATTCATTGTAAGGATATGCTACATTTTACATATTTATTCATCAAGTGATAGACATTTGGGTTGTTTCCACATTTGACTATTATGAATGCTACTAGTTTTACAAGTACAAATTTTTTGTGTGAACATACATTTTCATTTCTCTTAGGTATATACCCAGTATAGAATTGCTGAGTCATATGGAAACTGTGTTTAACCTTTTGAGGAATTGCCAGACTGTTTTCCAAAGTGTCTGCACCATTTTATATTCCCACCAGTAGTGTAAGATAGTTCTGATTTCTCCACATCCTCAACAATGCTTATTATCTATCTTCTTGAGTGTAGCTATCCAAGTGAGTAAGAAATGAAGAGACACTTGTTGATTTTGATAAAGAGAGAAATTATTTTTAGGGAGTAGAGGTAGCTCCAAACAAGCTTAAACTAAAATGGAGTGCTTGCAAAGTACATAGGAATGTCCGAAGGAACCCAACTGTAGCAGATGCTGTGAGATGGATGTAAGTAGCTGAGCTTCTACTCTTAATTACTATGGAACACTGTATATAATAACTCTTCAAGGGTGGGCAAAATTCTGAACTGTTTTCACTCACAACATTTCTGACACCAAATGTGTGTGTTTCTTCCCCTACGTGATTTGATTCTCTAACTCTCCAGACACCAACTGAGTGCCCTACAATTCAATTCTGACACTAACTATGCAGAGTTAGCACAGACTCCACAGTTCAAGGGCTCAGTCCCACAGACTGTCCTCACTGCAGACACTGGTTCCAACTCCCAGGGGCCACCTGCACTTCTGGCCAACCAGCTATCAATTGATGGTTCCCATGACCCCTTCCTCAGTTCCAATAATTTGCTAGAACAGCCCGCAGTACCCAGGAGGGCACTTTTCTTATTGTTATGGGTTTATTACAAAGGTTACAGTTCAGAAATAGTCAAATAGAAGGGAGGCATAGAGCAAGGAAGGAGCATGTAGCTTCCACACCCTCTTCAGCTGCTCCACCTTCCCAGTACCTCGATGTGTTCATCAACCCAGAAGCTCTTAGAACCCTATTGTTTAGATGTCAAACTGGAGGTTTCATTACAGAGGCATGATTGATCAAATTATTGATCATTGGTGATTAACAACTTCCGGCCCTTCTCCTCTCCCTTGGAAGTTGGGAGTGGGGTTGAAAGTTCCAACTCTCTAAACATGCCTTGATTTTTCTGGTGACCAGACAGCCCCCACAACCTGAAGCTATCTAGGGGCCCCATTCATCAGTCATCCCATTAGCATACATGACACTCTCATCACTCCAGAGATTCCAAGAGTTTTAAGAGTTTTAAGATTGGAATTAGGGACAAAGACCAATAGATACATTTGTTTTGTTGTAAAAATCTTGAACAGTCTTTTTCTCTTGGTTTCCAGAAATGACTGACACATTGCCATTAAAAAAATCAAAGTGTGGTCAAGTCCAGTGAAAGGAAGCCTCCGCATGTTCAGTGAACTGCAGTGGGGGTGGGGGCAGTCGATGGAAGGAATTCAGGGAGTTCATGTGAACGCCCCAGAGTTCTATGCCAAGCTTCGTAGAAAGAAAAGAAATATGTCATTTTCTGCGGAGCGAGTTAATAACTTCTTCCTGGTTCTCAAAGAGGTTCATAGTCAAGAAAAGTGAGATCTACAGATAGACAGCATCTATTGATATTACACCATGCTTGCTCTTGGCATTGTAGCTCTAATTGAGATATATCAGCATGTGCTTTAGTCAACGATCAACTAGAAGAGACCTGGGACAGTTATGCCTCCTCACTCATCCACCTGGCTTCCTTCCTTAACCTCTTGGGTTGAGCCATTTAAGATATGGGACATTATATCAATTTTATGTAATAATATACATATGTATTACTCTTTCAAATAAAAAAAGTTGTGCAAAGAATAAGAAAACATTATTAGTTCTAGTACCATGCATAGTGTTTCAATTCCCCTAAAACATAATTCAGCTAATGGGTTAAAATTTTTTTATTTAAAGTAATTAATTTTTACAGAACAGAAAAATTCCATTTTCATATGGTCTATATTAATTTTTTTGGAAGGTGAGGAATATAATGTTTATCCATTAGTTCAAGTGGAATAGAATCATCTATACTGGAATCATCTATACTGGAATAGAATCATCTATACATGGAAATTGTGGATTAGATACTGGAATTAAGTAAAGGCTGTGTAATTACAAAGAGTTAGGTGACATTTACTACAGGTTATTTGACAGAAATGTTTATAGATTACTGGTAAATTAAACCTAATAGAAACCTAATAGAAAAATAAGACTGTCAAAGAAATTGTTGGAAGAAGAATAAAATGTTCGAAATTTGCAAATTCAGTAAAACTTTCCTGAAAAATAATTATCTCCATTATTTAAATCAACTGCACAAGGGCAACTTCCATCCAAACCATCAACACTTTCTAGCATGTCGGGTCTCTCCAAGCAAGGGTTCTACCATATACCTATTTCCAGGACATCGGGCCAAAGGGGGCTCATTTTTATCAGTCTCTAAGCATTTTCATAATTTTATCTATTTTCACCAAAAGCAGGATTTACATTCATTTACCCAAAACCTGTAATGAAAGTCACATACACACACACCCCCCCCACGCGCGCGCGCGCGCAAACACACTTTAGAGATGTGCATCAAAGAACATAAATGACTTGTGCAAGACCACATCACTATCCCTGGTGAACTCAATGTTCAAAATGCCCCTCTGATCACAGGACTGAGCTTCTTTATGTACATTGTCTCCCACTATTCAGAATCTCCTCTGTGAATGCAGCTCATTCCAAATTCAAGCTGCAATTAACAGCTAAGAGGAGATGTGGGCATAAAAGCTATGAAATGGGATTAATTCTTTTCTGTGATAATAGTGATAGCTATAATCAGTGAACACTAACTGATGTCAGGCACTATTCTAAGAAGTTTATACATATTATAAACTTATATTTAATCTCCACAGAAACCCATAAGGTAGGTACTATTATCATTTTCATTTTGTAGATGGGGAAACTGAGCTATAGAAAAGTTAAGTAACACGAAGTCACTCAATTAGTAAGTAATAAAGCTAAGATTCAAACCTTTGCTGTCTAATTCTAGTTAGTCCTGATAACCAACTGCTTTCTTTCATATGTGCTAAGACCACATACGTAAAAGATCAATAAAACACTTAATTTACCCTCAATATTGAGAAATGCTTTTTAAAAGGTGTGAGTGGCAAGTGTCTT